TGTGCTCTTCCGATCTACTTAAATCGAGCGTTTTTAAATACTGCAAATTTGCAAATGTCTTTGGATGTAAATATTTTATGTAATTTGAGGATAAATTCAAGTAGAGCAGTTCGTTATTGTCTTGAAAAGCATTTGAATCGATATTATCAATCTCATTTTCGGAAACCGAAAGATATTGTAGATCTTTCAAATTAAGCAATGATAGACCACTATCCCATTCGAACCAATTTTTAATGGAATTAAAACGATTGTTATTTAAATTTAATGCGAACAATTTGTTGCTTCTTTGATTTAAATCCAAAGTTCCAAGTGAATTGTTATGAAGATCAAGAAAGTATAAACTATTCGGTAGGAGTTTTACAAATTCGGTTTCTCTTATATTGTTTCCGGAGAGATCCAACATCTTTAATTTAGGAAACGGAAACCGCAAAGACTGCAAATTATGCAAACAATTTTTACGGAGAGACAAAATTTCTAAGTTTGGATATTCGCCGGAAATATAATCATCATTAAAACAGTAATTCGAATTTTTTACCTTATTCATAATAAGAACTTGTAACTTATTGTGACTTCCAAAATTAAAAAGACCACTTATGAGTCTATTGTTCGAAAGAAACAAGTGAGTTAAATTTGGAAGTTTGTCAAAGGCGCCGTTACCAATGTTCTCAATATTATTATCCGTGAGGTTGAGGCAAGTAATTATAGAACTACTGATAAAATTTTGATTAATCTCAGAGATTACTGCATTTGAGAAATTTAAAGAAATTGTATCATCTTCACAGAGATATTGCACCGACTCGTCCACGTAATTTGATGGAAATTCTACGACATTGTAAACATTGTAACCATCGTTGTCTATTGCTTGTGTGGACCAGCAAGTTGACAATTGTGAAAACAAGATGACGATTATATATAAAACGACAAACTGCATGGCTAATCTGTAAATATAGTATAAATTGTCTATTTTGAAAATGTAACGATAATTTAATTATACTAATTAATACTTAATAAAAAATAAATATAAAACAAGAAATAAAGTTGTAACTATAAATTATAATAGTTATAACAATAAAGATAATTATAATAATGAAAAATAATAATAGAAAATATATTTCCACATAGTTGTTTTTCTTATATAAAAAATATAAATATATACTAGTATAATAAAACTTATTATTTACTAGGGCTGGTGATTTGCTTCAAAGGCTTCGACATTCGAATTTTGAAGCTTCGGCATTAAAATCTTCGAATTCTTTCGAAGCTTCGAAGTTTCGAAGTTTCGAAGTTTCGAAAAATACATTCGTGCAAATGATAAATTTATCCAAAAAATTTACAAATATTGTAAATAAAAAGAATTAATTAATATATATACGAAATTATTTCCAAAAAATTTAAAAGTATTATAACCTGAAATATTACAAATTAATAATTAAACTTGATACAAGTGTAAATAAGAAAAAATAATGATTAATAAAATAATCTAATTAAGATGATTCAAATTTTTCAAAATTTCAAAACTTCGAAGCTTCAAAGCTTCGAAGTTAACTTCGATCTTTCGAAGTTTAAGGTGTCTTCGAAGCTTCGAAGCTTTGAAGTTTGAAAAATTTGAATTTTCTTTATTGGATTGTTTTATTGATCATTATCTTTCCCATTTACTTCGAAAAGTCAAAGTTAATTTCAAAGCTTCGAATATTCGAAGTAGGTAAAAAGTAACAGCTCTATTATTTACTGTAGAGTTTTTCTACAAATTAGATAGGTACATCAATTAAATGTGACTTACCGTTTTTGCAATGTTCTTCTCGAGAGATGCAAACTTTATGTTATTTCTAAAATGTACCTTCCCTAAGGACTGTATCTCAAACACTGTAACGAACAGTTATGCTGCTCTCCATATAATTCCTCTCCAAGGATTGAAAGGAAGGAACTGATATTTGTATATATAATTTCGCTGAGTTTGGACTTAGATGCCGGAAATGCGATAATAAAATGTATATGTTTTGTCAACTTTATTATCGTTTATATAAACTGATCATCTCTTCCAAGAATGCTTATGCAATATTATCACATAGCAAAAAAGGAAGTTAAAATTATAATAAATAATCGCAGCAAAGTTTTAAGTAGACAATGAATAAATTAATCAAACCTGTAAGTATAATATATACATATTCTGTAAAACAATTTTGTCATTTCTTTAAAATTTAATTCTATATTGCTCGTTAGACTGAGAGAATCATTCTGAAATTACAATTAACAGTATATGTATATGTATATTAATAAGGCGACACAAAATTAAATGTCGTAATATTAAATCAAAATCAAATATTTTTTAGCAATACTGAAATTAAAAAAAGATAAATAAAAGTTGAGAGATATAAAAAATAACGTTCGTTTTGAATAGAAATGATCGTTTTTGGCATAGCATTTTCAATGATTTACAATGAAAATTATTTTTCCTTATTTTTAATAAAAAGATTCGATTCATTTCCAAAGTAAAATTTATAATTGCGTTAAAAAGATATATATCTTATCAAAATAATTTTTTAATTTTATAAGAAATTAAATAATTTTTAATTTTTTAAAATTATTATATTAATACTTAAAACACAAATATTTATTCTAAATAGTTCATATAGTATAAATAGATCGAAAAACCTACAAGATAAGAAGTTTAAATGCAGCATATTTCTTTTATATTGACGACAGATTTGATAATATACTATATTAACTGTTTAATTCCTGTGATAAAAATTTTAGCTATATACATATATTGAGGAAATCGAGATTTATTTTTATTAAAGCTTGTGCAATATATTTTATTAGAATATGACGTTATCTCTCTCTAATATTATTTCAATCTAATTACTATGGATGGAAGAGACATTAGTACGAAGAAATACATTATCAGTAGTAAATATATGATGACAAGTTTTATTTTTAGATTCTACATAGTTGTTATGTTGTTAGAGCACAAAAATATTTGCGGATTATCTCTGAGTTTGATATTTAAATTAAGCGTTTCTAAATGCTGCAAACTTGCAAATGTCTTTGGATGTACATAATTTATGTGATTTGTGAATAAATTCATAAGTAAAGCAAAAAATGATAATAAATAATTGTCAATCTTGTGCAAGAAATATTGAGGAAATTACACAATTAAAGGACAAGCAATAACTTATAACAGGATGTCAAAATAATAAATAATAATAAATTTAATGTCATAATAATAAATTTAATGTTAAAGATAAATAAAACGTTTCGATCACACAGAGTCTTCCTCAGCTATCGATATTAATATAATTAAATTATTATCATAATATTAAAGAGTACAAGAAATTCATTAAAATTGAAAAATAAATAAAATAAAAAATTAATAACATACAATGAACCGTCAGACTATATTATGATAAAATATAAAGATTTCTTTAAAGTTATTAAATTAAAAATATAAATTTATAAAGATGTTTTGAGAAAGTATTACCAAACAATAATGATAAGAGACTGCATCAAAGCTGTCATAAATACATACATATGACAAGAGTAAGATATATGTCAAAATTTATAAACTTCTGATTGTGAGAAAACAATCAGCTTAAATTCGAATCCTTGTAGTCGTAAAGTATAATTTATGTCCAAACTGCGAATAAAATTTGTGTATTGAAAATTCATCATTCTGAGACGAGAATTTTTTTTGGCAAAGACTCTTTGATTATCAAAAATTATATATGTATTTATATACACTATCCCCGAAAAGTTTCCGGACAAAAACAAAATTTTTTATGTTTGAAGTTTTAAACCGCTGAACTTAATGCGGCACTGTGCTAAATCAAAGAATAGATGATTTTGGCATTTTAAGAGATACTTTAAAATACTCTGTAATGATTTTAAGTTTAATGCATCTCTGACCCTACTATTTTAAACTCTTAAATCTGAGAAGCATGTTTGCCATACTGAAAATTGCAATGTTTGACGGAATGTACGACGTTGGAAAAATTTTTCTCGGGGATGCGGTTTGCAGCGTCATAAAATTTGAACTTTCCTCTTTAATTTGAGAAAAATGCAAGTTGCTACAATTTTTTTCGCAAAGTTACAGCATTTTAAAGTAACCCGTTTATTTTTCTCATATATGATCGGCGTTGGGAAAAATGTTAATAAAAATAAGAGTAAGGATTAAGTTAAAAAAGTTAGAAATAGAGAAAAGAGAAAGATTCATTAGTAGCGGTGAAAGTTGAACTGAATAAGGAAAATTGGAAAATAGTAGAGATATACGTTAATGGGAATTACAACAATTAACATTGATATAAAACTAGAGAATATGAGGAGATGAATGGAAAAAAAGAGGAAGGGATAAGAACTCTAATTGGAGATTTTAATACCAGGACTGGGGGAAGAGGGAGGGATAGTAAAAGAAGATAGTTGGGAGGAGATAGGAAAAGGAAGGAATTCAAGGGATAAGAAAATTAATAGGGATGGCAGGATATTATTACAGAGACTAGAGGAGGTAGGTTGGGCAATATTTAATGGAAACATAGAAGGGGATAAAAATAGGGAATTGATGTATACGAAAAGAAGAGAATCGAGATTCGGTAATTGACTATGTGATAGAGAGTTTAAAGGTGAAAGAGAAGGTGAAAAAAATGGTGATTGTGAACTTAGTGGACTCGGACTATCCGTTGGTACTTCATGGGAGGGGACAGAAACGATAGTAGGGCTAAGAGGGAGAGGGAAGGGGCAAAGAAATGGGTATGGGCACTAGAGGGCAGAGAAGAATTTAGGACAGCTGATGGGGAAGTAGGGGAAGTACGGAAGGAGATAAAAAAAATAGTAAAAGAAATATTGGAGAGGGGTTGTAAGGCAAAGCAGGAGAAGTCGAAAAGATAATGGTGGGAGGAGTATGAAGAGGGAAAGAGAAGGGTTAGAAGGATGCTATAAGGAGATGGAGAAAGGGGTAGGAAGACGGACAGGCATACAGAAGGGAAAAAGGAAAGTATAAAAAATTGTTAGAGGCCAAAAAAAATGGCTAATGAAAGATGGAAGAAAGAATTACAAAGTATAAGGACAGAGGGACAGGTATGGAAGGTAGTAAGTAGAGAGAGAAAAAAAAGGAAAAGAGTAAAAGAGTAAATAAAAAAATTACGGTGAAGGAATGGGACAATTATTTTAAAGATTTGCTAGGGGTGTTCAGAGAGTAATTAGAGGGACGAAGAGAAGAGAGGAAGAGGACCAGGGAGAAGGGTTAAGTATGAAGGAGATAAGAAAGGTAATAAAAAGACTAAAGGACAAAACAGCAGTGGGGAGTGACGGGGTGCTAACAGAGGTTTGAAAATATGGAAGGGACAGAATGGAAGATAGGTGTGTGGGAGGATATGTAATAAAATATGGAAGGGGGAAGGGGTGGACAGAGGAATGGAATAAATGAGTAATAGTCCCAATTGTAAAAAAGAGAGAAGGAATTAAGGTGGAAAATTACAGGGAAGTTTCGTTGACGCCGACGTTGTGCAAGGTGTATGCGTCGGTGTTGGCAAATAGGTTGAAGAAGGGTGGAGGGAAAGAGATTGATTCCACAGAATCAAACGGAGTTCAGAAGGGGTCTGGGGACGGTAGAAAATATCTATACATTAAACTATCTGATAAACAGGCAATACAGAACAGGAGGGAAAATGGTGACCCTGTTTGTGGACCTTAGAGCCGCGTTTGTTCTGTGGATAGAAAAATATTGATAAGAATGAGGAAAAGTGGAGTAAGGAAGGCACTTGCGGTACGGTGTGAGGACATTCAAGGGAAACGAAAAATAGAGTAAGGATGGGAGAGAATAAAGGAGAGTGTTTTTGGACTGGGAGGGGAGCAAGACAGGGATATCCTCTGAGTCCATACCTGTTCAACCTCCTAACTGCGGATCTAGAAAATGAGTTGAAGAAAGGAGGGAGAGTTAAGCTGGGACAGAAGGTGTATTCCTTGTCATATGCAAATTACATGGTGCTGATAGCAGAGGATGAAGACGAAATGAGAAGCATGATGGCAAGACTGGAAAGATATCTGGATGAAAAGAGATTAGAACGAAATGTAAATAAAACAAAAATAGTGATCAGGTTTAGAAAGGGAGGACGGAGGAAAAGGAAAATGAATTGGAATTGGAAAGGGAGAGTAGTAGAAGAAATGAAGGAATATATATCTGAGATATAAAATATAATGTAACGGAGGGCAGGAGGCGCATATAAAGGAGAGAGTAAGGAGAGAAATGGTAATGATGGAAAAGGTTTGGAGAATAGGAAAAAAGAGGCTTAAGGCAGATTGGGGAAGAAGGCTCTGGCTTTTTGATGTTCTAATTTGGTCGGTGGTGGAATATAGAGCGGAAGTTTGGGGATGGAAAGAGAGAGAATTGATAGAGAGAGAGAGAGAGAGAGAGAGAGAAAGCGCAGGATAGATATAGTATATAAGATGGGTGTTGGGAGTGAAATAGAGGACGCCGAGATATACATAATTGGCAAGATGTTTGGAAGAAATGATCAGGAGAGGAGATAAAGGAAAGAGCATATCGAGATAGGAAAAGGAAAGGAAGGGATTTTTTGAAAAAAGAGAATGATTGGAGATTAAGGGATAGGGAAAGGATTGATTTGGAGGAATTGCTAAGGAGGGACAGAAAAAAAAGATGGGAGAAAATAAGGGAGTCTAAATATACTAAAATATACAAATGCATAAAGGGTAAGGGGAAGGGTGCCTGGAAATTTAAAAAGGGATGGGATGGGATAAGAGCAGATGGCAGGAATTGGCGAGGGTTAAGATTAGATAATAGAACAAAGGGAAATAAATATTGGATGAAGGAAGAACAAAAAAAGTGCAAGATTTGTGGTAATGGGAGAGAGAAATGGAAGCATGTATGGAAAGAGTGTATATAGAGTGAGGGAAAGG